TGGAAAGCGAATAATTCACCCAAAGCTAAAATAAAAATAATATACGGACTAATGAGTGACCCATTAGTTCTTCAGGTAACAAATAATATTTATATACTTTGCCCCCGCCTTTCTTTTCTTAATTTTTCCTTTTCCACTTGGAAAGTTTCTTCTTTTTCAGGAGAACTCATTATCATAATAAATTGCTTCCAATTTCCATAGGCAGAAGTCGTTTCGTTGAACTGAACCTTTTCTTCATCGGATTCTAATAAACGTAAATGTGTACGATTGGAAGAAATTATCCATGATAAAAGTGGGAAACACAAAGTGTCCAGTTTATCTAGCTCTTGCTTCAAAGTCTTTTTTTTTGCATATTTCACCATTTCATTTACTTGTGGTAACTTATCAATAACACTTTGTAAAAGGCTGTAATTAGGCTGACCATCCGGGTTCAAAAAATTTTTCTCACTTCGGCGATAAACACGGAAAGGTAAATATACATGTCGACTGGAAACAGCCGAAATTGGTACAACAATTGGAAAGTCGGTAACCAGGTATGTGGATGTAACATCTAAAACACGTACAGTGGAGGTGTGACTGCATCGATTAACGGCAAAAGGTTGACCTGTCTCTGGATGGAAGACCTCCAAATTATCATTTTTCAACACTTGACCATCGAACCCTTTCCACCCATAAACTGCGTATCCAGCATCAATACGTGTACCAACCGTACCTTGATTGGTATCCCAATCAACAACCAATGAATTTTGAATATCATACTTTGTTACAGTAGTGACACCTATAGCCCTGGATGGAAATGGGCTTAGATTATGACTACTTATCGCGACGTAACATAAAGATATCAACAGATCTACGACAACAGGACTATTCACCAAAACCGCTTCAAAAAGATTGCCAAGACCTACAAGTGCTTGATGTTGACACAATGCAGTTCCACAAACAAAAGGTCTAATAGATGACACAGACTCCATATGGGGAAAATGGCATGTCAAACAATATTTTGTTGAAAGAAGAATTCGACGACGAAGGAACCGTAAAACCAATAAAAGAAAATTTCGATTTGTAGATTCAGTAGCCCTTTCAATATGTTCACCTTCAAGATAGGTCAAAACACCATGCTGTTCTTCATCTTTAGCTAAACAATCTTCGATTTGTTCAGAAATAAGTTCACCATTGTTGAGAAAATCAAGAACTAAATCTTTATTGCGTTTAAGATCTGCCCACTCGGCACCAGACCAACCACATCCAAACCACATTCGATCGCATAACATATCAAAGAATTTGTCACTTAAAAGTCGTGTTAAGGTCCAAGAAAGTACAAAATGATCGCTCTCCAAAGTGTCATCTTTATGATGTGATTGACTTGGCACTCCTCTTGGTAATGACGATGTCAATACAGTGAATTGAATAGGAAATTGTTTTTTCAACGATTCTTTTATAGCTTGATAACCACCTTCTTTAATAAGGTATGCTTTTGTTTGGAAAGCATCAGCTATCGCACCTTGTAAATCTATATAGTTTGGAGAGAATTGCATAATGCACACCAAATACCTGAACCACGTGAAATTATTATAAATAAATAAATATATGTTAATTAATTAATTAACGACAGTTCATAATTATCAAGTAAAATTATAAAATTAC